CCCCCCCCACCTGTCTCCCACTGCAGCAGCACAGACACATGACAGACAGGCAGGGACCGTTTCTCTGCATCATGTTTTTAATCCGTGGTGAACAGTTGTGATTTGTTCCGTCACAGAGAACTTTGTTTATTCTTTGATGTTTGCTTGTTAGTGTTTAGTTGGAGGCTGTCGTGTTTTAGCCCACGAATCAAGTCTGCTCAAATTTGACATGACATGCTACAGCTTTGAAGATATCTGCTGCTTTAATGTGTCTGGAATCTTCCTCTGATGGGCACACACACACACACACACACACACACACAGAAACACACACACATAATCTTTATTGGCTTATGCATCTTTGACTGTAACGACAATTTTCAGCTCTTCTGGTCAGGTTCAAGGGTCTTCAAAGCTGCAGCCTGTCACAGCAGGCGGTCTTTTTTGTGCAGCCACAGAGGAATTAATAGTCAGTGAGCAGCACTACAATAATACTGCGAGATATTTTAGGCTTGGTTTAATCCCTGAACTCCAAACAAAACAACAACGGATGCTTTTGCTTTTGGAGTTTGTACAGTGAGGGATCTCTGGGCTCTGGCACAGAGGCGATCATTTTAGTGGGTTAATCAGCTTATTGTGGGTTCTAAGGAACCTCTGAAGTATTTGTTTATCCAGGAGGACTTTCAAGTGTCTTCCTGAATGGACAACAACCAAACATAGTTGTATTTGGCTTAGAGGAAGTGATAACAAGACTCTGGCACAGAGGCGTTTGTTACCAAACAACAACATTGCTGTGGGTTAGTTGTGTATCGGGCGTTTTTAAGAACTTGGTTGTCATAATTACCCACCCTGGAGAACTGTTTATTTAATATTATTAATAATTATTATTCATATTTAATCTTTCGTATTTAACATCCACTGATTAACACTGGACACAGACAAAAACACTGGGCTCTTGTGAGCTTTGAATAATGCTTAGCTTCCGAGATCAGACGATAAGATCGTAAACGCTCAGCATGGTCTGGCACCACTGTGATGTTTTACTAAAAGTTAAGGGGGTAGATTCAGGCTTAGCTTTGATTAGAGCGCCCTCTGCTGAAAACTGACAAACTGATTTGCCCCTGAACCTGGTCTAAATCCAACATAAACTGACAAACTGATTTGCCCCTGAACCACAGAGTTCTGCAGCGTTTCAAAGAACATATAAAGAAGCACAGAGTTCCGCAGCGTTTCAAAGAACACATAAAGAAGTTTTCTTCCTGCTGTTCTACCATGGCTGGCTGTGAGTCAGTAGGTGGAGTGGGTCAGACCTTATAGAAGTGGAAGTGGCCTTTCATAACTGTGCCATAGCTTGCTCGTGATTGGTTGATTGTGCGAGAGCTGCGTGATAGAGAAAAGTCTTCCACTCTTAAATGTGTGAGTGAATTGCTGTTAATGAGGGAATAAATGGTCGAACTGTAATCTGGAGGGTTTCCAGTCATCCAGCACAGAGTCATCAAGCACAGACCATTAACCATCTGTTGGTTATGATGGTGAGCGTCAGACACTGATCTCAGATTCATGAACAGAGTCGGGGAACAGCCAGAGATGGCTTTGGATGAAATGGTCTGGGTGAATTGAACTTTGTTTCTGTTCTGATCTGACGACTCTACTGTATGTGGTCACTTTTACAGCAACCCCCCCCCCCCCCCCCCCCCCCCCCCAGCCATTTCCTCCATCTGTTACAGTTTTACATTTACAGCCTCTGCACTGTGAGCACTTTGTGCAGTTTAACAGCCTAAAATCTACAACATATCCCTCCTTGGTTTAAACCCAACGGTTTGTTGGACAAAACCTGACAAATACCTGTGAGACCAAATGCTATAGTTCAGCTAACAAATACACTAGGATGAAAATCATTTAATTTTGGTTAAAACAACCCGGTCTTCCGAACAAATCAAGTAAACATAGACTCCTAAACTAAACCCTAAACTCCTCTTCTTCTAAACTCTGCTCAGGGCTAGCACATCAAAACAAGATTGCTAAGATATAGCCAAAGAAAAACTTAAACGTTAGACTGATGAATATACTGCAGCAAATTGGTAACAGTTAGCCAAAGTCTGGGTAGCAGTATTTTTGGGGAGAGTTTTAGTCTGTTTGGACAAAATCCAATACAGATAAAACTCCAGTGTTTTCAACACGAAACATTAAGGTGTCAGCAAAGACGCTGGAGTTAAAGATCAAAATTCACGTGTGACCTGAAGAAGGCGGTGTATCTATGTGATACCTTCACTGTCTGAACGATTTGGGAAGTTTACTTTGCAGACAATTTGGGGGAAAAAAATGACAGTGTTGACAGTCATCTGGCCAATAAGAAACTAGTCCAAGCTGTTGGGGTTGCCTAGGAGACCTGTCTTCGCATGTTTTAATTGACACCTCTAGCAGTGTCTGAGAACTTTCTGACCTTCACAGATTGACTACACTTACTCCCCCACTGCTCCGAGGCTCAGTTTTCAACTTTAACCATCACTTTCCTCCACATTCTCCTCACCCTTTGCTTCCTCAAGCACACACCTGAACTTATCAACTCCTTCCTCCCCTCTTGTATGCTATTTTGCCACAGCCTTCCTCCTCCTTTACCGCGCGCAAAAGCCAACCTTCTGGACCCCTGTTGACTTCAAACGAGGAGGCCTATCTTCACTTGTCACCCTCCCTCTCCCCCCCCCCCACACACGCTCAGCTCATCCCTGGGGGATGAAAACACACACTGCATTAATTCTTCCACGGCTCTCCAAATTCCAGCTCTTAAGGGACTGGAGGACTTGCCACGGTGGGTCACAGTGTTTACTCAGGGGTCCCAGGAGGGAGGTTTCACTTCTAATGAATGTGTGTCTGCAGTGTGTCATCAAACACTGGACGTGGATCTGTCTGCTGTGCCCGTGCACGTGATTCAGGGCCAGTTACACCATGAGCTACCTCTATTAGCCGTTCCGAGCTAGCTTTTACGCTCTTCTGTCCAACATCTTTAATGCTAATATTTAGCCAAAGTACTGAAGCAGCAATGACACCACTTTGTTGGTGTATTTGAGTGCAGCTACTTAGGGCTAATTTTGTTTGGTATTTTATAGCTAATGTTTAGTAATCATTACACTAATACACTTCTAACATTACTCTTGGCTGACCTTGACTATTGTTTGCTGATTTATAGCTACTTCCTGCCTAATTGTTTGTCATTCTTTGGCTAATATTTACCTTGTTTGGTTATTTTCTGCCCGACCTTCAGCATTTTTTTTTGCTTTATTTATGGCTTTGTGTTAGCTTTAAGATAGCATCTGCTCGGCTTTAGTAGCCTCTTACCTTAGCATTTTTACTTTATACAGAACACAACACTGTGTTTCCCCACATCTTAACATTTTTTTTAAGTGAGTTTTTAAGCTACTTTAATGATTAGCACATATTAGCTTCAAAACCTGGATGGACTTTTTCAAAATACACTGCAGTTCTACGCCATGTTAAACAAGACACTCAAGGCCTTATAGTATAGTATATTACTGCAATACAAGCACAGTGTGTGTGTGTGTGTGTGTGTAGAGTACCTGAGGTTGTTTACGGGCTCAGACCGTACCATATCTTTCATGTCAGTTCAGTGAAGCTTCACCATTCATGTCTTCAGATGTGCTCAGCTCAACTTTGTGCTGTCTGTACGAAACAACCGTCGTGACCAACCTTGCCTCGAGCACCGATAGGATGAAAAATGGGTAGAAGCACCCGAAGGAAGGGGGAAGAGGGTCGGAGGGGGTGGAGGTCCATCTGTGAGCTGCGTTCAAGGACAACAGTGTTATCCGTTTGGAACAGTGTGAAACAGCCCAGTGTTTCCAGGGCCCCGTTTGGAAAAACAGGGGCATCTGGATGAACTGTGGACGCCACTGTTGTCCTGCCAAGTGGAGCGAGACGCTGCAGAGACTAGATGGGAATCATGGACTCCTTGTCTGTATCAGCATCACTCCCCTTCGTCGCCTCCTTCAGAGTCAGAGATAAAGCACAAATGTGACTAATTGTTTCGGAGTCGTGCGTTGTTCTGGTGAGGTTCTGCGGTAGCTGTTTTTTTTTTTTTTACTCGCAGAACTCATTAAGTTGCTTCTGATCTTATTTTAAGTCCAGCCCAGAGGTGTTTTGTTCTTTCTGCTGTTTGGATCTTGGTGTCTTCTTGTTACGTCCGTTCTCTTTGTTCGACCGCTGTATCTTTGTGGTTGTGTGTTTATCCCCTAATTAACTCTGTTTGCTTACTTTTCTATGTTTGTCCTTTATTTGTTTTCTCGAAAAACTTTTACAGTCTACTATTTCTTCGTTATTTTTAGTAGGTCAACAGAAAACATCAGAACATACAGGGGAACGTGCTGGAAAAACAAGCGTTAGTAGTTTTCTTATTCACCTGATCCCGAATTCAACGAGCAAAGAGCCGAGAGGAAACGTTATTCTGTTGGTTTCACCTGAGCAATTATATATATAATATATAATATATATTATATATATGTAGATAGTGGCTCTTTGG